GCTCGACCCATCATTTCCACGAGTTCTTCTCAGAAAAAAATTATCGCAGCTACACTACTAGGTGGTCTGCACCTAGAATTTGGAACTCAATAATTGGTCCTAAGTTCACAGATATGGAAGCAGTTCCACTAACAAAGAGAGAAATCAAGGATTTCTCAAAGCAGTTTTTTATCGATCAATACTGATACCATTGCCAACACTGACATTTATGTTCTTGTGTTCCACCTGCGTTCGTAAACATACGAATACCTGCCAATGAAATGATCCCCCATTTTATTTATTGTGGGTATGTACGTACATTTACCTGATAATGTATTTTTTACCCGCTCTCTCACAGGTACATACTTGCACAGTACATAGTTATATGTACACAATTACAGAATTTGTCTTTAATGCATATCACTTATGCATACCTAATTTTGGAGCATTGTACATCTCTGTAACTGGGTAGGTATGTTCTAACTGGGTACCTAGATCGCCACAAGAGGTGGTGGTATTTAGTGGTCCTTATGTCTTTTCCCTGTTTGTCTTTTACTTCTTCTCGAACTTTTATCCCACATTTTTGTTTTGCCCTTTTCTTTTTGTTAAGCTTTGCTTTTTCTCCCTATAAACATCATACAGTACGTACAGTACTAACTGTATGTCTTTGAATCATCGCCATCGCTCAATGACCTAGCTTTCTGTCTATTTACATTACTTGCTATTTGTATACCGGTCGTCTCGTCTTGTTTTGTGTACTTACAAGTCACACTTAAGTTCTCCTGGATACGTAACAATACGTAAATCAGCCCTACGATACTTCCCACCGAACTGGGTTTACCGAGCAACAAGCTTGCTTAGCTCGGTATCCCTTTTCGGTGAGGATCTGACTCCTCCGGGTGTGACTAGGCTCTGTCCCTCTTCTATGATGCAAGCTTTGCATGCGCTTATTACCACTAACCCCTGGATCACTCTCTCCTTCTCACTATCTTCTTTGGGAATGGTGTAGCGGCCAGTCAAGCTACATTTAGTCTTGACTTCTTTGCCTCTTCTTATGACATTTTACTAACTTACTAAGTATTGTATTTAGCTTTGTTTTGTTTGCTTTCCTTTTTCTTAGCAGGGAGTGTCGCGACTTTCTTCATATTTTTGTCTTGGGAGGTGTTAACGTAAGGTGCTGTTGTCGCGTGGGTCAGTGGGTGGACACTCCTGGTCGTCTGATCATGGGCGGCGGCTTAGAAAAAAAAAAGTGCAATAGGACACGAGTGTCCAAGTGCAGCGATAAGGGCATCAAGCTTGCTCACTATGTGCGAGAATTCATCTAAATTATCGCGGGTAGAATCCCAGTATGGCATGTAACAGCCCAGCACCGTCAATTTCGGGCCTAACTTGTCACTGATCACTACACCACAGAGGCGCTCGTCCCCACAGTCTACCTCAGCATAGCGGACCCCGGGGCGGTTGCGACAAATCATAGCCACCCCGCCATGGCGGCGCCCGGCGCCTGCGCCGGGTGGCAGATCCATGGCGAACTTTTGGATCACTGTACAGTCATGTGAGCAGTAGTCATCAACGTAACGAGTGAGGTAGCACTCTTCGGAGCGAGACATCCACGTTTCAGCAAGAAATATGATATCATGGACATCAATCAGTTCACGTACGTAGGGCAGGGCAGTCAACAGCCCTTCGCAATTGTAAGCAGAGATCAACAACATATCGGCGGTGTCATTAGACAACTTACTGGAGGTTGAGTGTGTTGCGGTTGAACCACACACGTGTGGAGCCGGCTCCTCTGGTTGAACTGCCATCGGCATTCCAGGTAGGCCTCTGATGGTAGGACTGCTGGGACGACCGGTGTGCAGGAAACGGCTGCTGTTGTCCTCGCAGTTTATCGGTCCAGTGACGCACCCGTAGACCGGCTGGCCAGTTGACTGGATTCATAATCCATGGGTCATCAGTCGCATCCACTTCAATCCGGTATGCCTTTAGGCCATCAGCTGCGCCAGAGTGTCTACTCAGACGCCTGAAATAGTGCAGTCGCTGCACCAGGGGGCTGACCATGTCTCGTACCTGGTCGTCCCTGGCGCCCGGAGCGATGCCCTCTATAACATACGTCGCCCGCGGAGACTGGTCGGCTTCAGCAGACGTCGCTACCAAGTGGGACGGTGCGCCGGTGCCAGTGATGGGCTTGGGCTTGGCGCGATCAGCGCACATAACAACTTGACCAGCATCATTGGAGCCGGTCGGCCGGGTCTCGAGAGACCCAGCTATCTGCTTCGGTTCGCTAGCGGCACCCGGGGGAACCTTAGAACGGACCAGAGGGTCGGCGCCCCTCCGGCTAGTCGGCGTGGGGCGAGGCTGTGCACGGGCCACCGATGTCCATGCACTGTGGTCTGGCAGACCATCTCCAGATTCACTGTCCGAGTCACCCGCCTGCGACTGCATGGCGCAGGCGATCGCCATTCCAAGCGAGCGTAAGTCAAGACTCGCAGCAATATCTCGGGCCAGGCTCAGCTGTTGCTCCGTGCGAGGATTCACTGGCAGTGTAGAGCTTCTGTCACGCTCTATCGTAAGGCATTGCCGGGTCGACCAGGATTCCGTAGTATCCTCTCGTCCCGGCGGGGGCAGTGGAGGCCGCTCCAGTGCCGACACAGCGCTCCCCGCGGCGTCAATTCGCCCCGGCGGGGGCAGTGGAGGCCGCTCCAGCGCCGACACAGCGCTCCCCGCGGCGTCAATTCGTTCCGGTGGGGGCAGTGGAGGCCGCTCCAGCGCCGATACAGCACACCCCGCAGTGCCGCGGTAGCTGGTCGGCTGGAAGTCCTTAGGGACAGCATTGTTACGGACCCTTTCAAGCTCGCGTGTTAGCTCATCCAGTCTCCGATCCTGCTTCTGGCTGTGGCTGCGTAGAGTGGTCACTTCCTTCTCCAGACGCAGTTGGGTGGCAATCAGAGTCTCGATAGAGGAGCGCACAGTCGATAATTCGCTGGACGTCTGAGTAGGAGGCTGGAACATCAACTCAGGTGGAGTGGACCGCTCGGCGGCCCGAAGAGTTTGTGAGTCGGCAAACCGAGTCAAAATCTTCTGGGCTGTGGAGCTCCCGAGGGCCCAACAGTCATCGACAAGTCGGCTGCAGCTGCCTGCGTTGCGTCTGATCAGAGGGCGCCCAGCCGCGGCAGGTATCTGATCAGGCAGGGCAGCGTGCAGCTGATCGCGCAGGCAGCGAAGATCGGTCTCATCCAGAGTGGCCAGGAGAGCGCAGACCGACGCAGCGTCATAACGCCCGCTAAACAGATCAGTCTTGGCTTGGAAAATCATTTCCATTTTAACAGCCGATTCAACACTTTCTGGGACCAGCGAATGCAACGGTACGAGCTGAGGCTGCACCGCAAACTCTATGCAGTTAGAAGCCTGATGCTCTTCGCCTGACGGGCAGTCATCGTTTGCGCAAATACGCTCTTCATGTTCAGGTTCTTGCCTGTCTAATAGTTGTTTCGGTATTGTTTCGGTATCTACTTTCTTCATTGCTTTCTTCATTGCTGGTCGTCAGGTGAAGCAAAGTCCTAGACTTTTCTTCCGTACAGGCACGTGACTTGCAATGAAAAATCAAGAGCAAAACCACGGAGCAAATGAATTGAAAATTTCGGATCTAGGTAAAAATATCCAAGTTTTTACCAACTAAAATTCACTTATTTCCTCACTTAGGTCTTTCGCAAATCAGAGTAACATGATCTGCGTTAAATTAGGATTCATTCAATCATAATCTTCAGTAGATTTAGTAGTAAAGTAGTTTAGTAGTAAGTAGTAAAGCAGATAGTAAAGTAGTCCGAATATTGGAATGAGCTTTTGCTTTTCAGCATCCTCCGATTCATCATCTTTATCATTTGAAAATTCGAGGTACATAAAATGTTTATCACGCGCTCAATGTTAAGTGAGAATATAGTACACGGCAGACACATCAATTTTTGACACTGAACATTTCATCCGTAAATGTTTTAGCATAATTTAAAGTTAAAAACAGCGCGAATGGCACAGTGAAACAAACAACATCTTTCACACATTGATATAACATGTAATCTGTGGTGCGCCAGATGCGCCATTATTTGTCAACCGCAGAAGGTGACATGTGACGTAACAGCATCAAGAGCATCTTTTTTCAAGAACTTTTCAAAACAAGTTTCCTATCTTTCTTCCCCCATTTCTCTCAGCATATTGATTTTATGAGGCAATGGTATGCACCATAAATTCTGTGAAAATAGTTTGATCATTTTTATGCATTCTTAAAAAATCGAGTTCCCAACCCCATTATGGACAATGTTCATTATATGATGAGCGACTCGATGGCCAGCCAGAATCAAGCCAGTGGTTCATAAACTCAGCATTGCTCACACAATGTCCATTACAGATACCTCCACTTGTATACCATAGCCCACGTTCCTTCATCGCTATACTGATCATCACACAGGCTACCATGACTTTTGTAAACCATAGCCCACGTTCCTCCTTCCTTTACTTTATTCATCCCAGAGGCTAATATAATGATATCAAAAACTGTCATGTTGCCGATGTTCTTACTTTTTATGGACCCCAAACCATAACTTCAGACCCAAACCATACCAGTGGTTCTTTAATGAGGTTAGTGCTTGTGCGAGGAACATGTTCATAAATAGTAGAAAATGTAAAAACATGACCTTATTTCCTCGATAATTGCCAAAACTAATGCTGTACAAATATATACTTTATTTGAAAGAATGTAATATTTCGACCACAGGTCTTTTTCAAACAGTTTCAAATTAGAAAAGATCTTTTCTAATTTTCTAAGTTTCAAATTAGAAAAGATCTTTTCTAATTTGAAACTGTTTGAAAAAGACCTTTGGTCGAAATATTACATTCTTTCAAATAAAGTATATATTTGTACAGCATTAGTTTTGGCAATTATCGAAGAAATAAGGTCATGTTTTTACATTTTCTACTATTTATCATACCAGTGGTTCTCAAACTCATCCCCTGGGCGGCCCGCTTACCTAGGATCACCCTACACGCGGCAATGATGGCCTCCAGAGCGGCCATATTACTGATGTTTTGTCGCGCGAAGGCCTCCACCGATACTCCGTCCAGGTCTCTGATAGTTCGGTCACTGCACGAGCTCAGAGGAGAGCATTTCTTCGCCAGGCGATCCACCTGAGGGAGGTTTTTAGGTGGGTCAAAGGTAGACAAATGAGAACATAAGATGATGTGAACAAGCAGATATGCTGCGTGGGCATTAGTGATGTTGTAACAGGTAATTTGGGGAACTGATACGAAACAGCTAATTTCATGCTATCGTAAAGAAAATGATATGACATGCTGTCAACGAAATACAGCCCCGTGGGCTTTTCCAATTGGGTAGGTACTTATGTACTTATCTAAATCAAAATCCAAAAGACAAAAGTCATGACAATAATGTTAAGCAGAGCCGGGAAAAATACAAAAAAGCGCGTGTATATACTTACCTTCCAGATGAAGAGCTGCAGTTGCACCAGGCCCCACCACGAGCCTAGGTTGGGTATTGTGCTGCTGTAGCGTCGAATGGAGTCACCTCCCAGCTGCATGTGTTTTGTACCCTGACGGGGAGAAACGGAGAAGAAAAGGGAGATTTAGTTTGGCAAACGTAAGAAAAAACCGAGATCAAGCGATTTCATGCACTAAACTTGGTCAGTGGAGACAGCCTAATTGTGTTTAAAGTTTTCAGATCGTGTCCGGACAAAATTTCGTCTGACATTTTTTCGTCGGACAGTTTTTCGTCCGCAGATTTTCGTCCGACTTTTTTTCGTCTCGCATTTTTTCGTCTGTACATTTTTTCGTCTGTGCATTTTTTCGTCTGTACATTTTTTCGTCTGTACATTTTTTCGTCCGGACATTTTTTTCGTTTGTATATTTTTTCGTCTGTACATATTTTCGGGGAATATTTGTTTCTGGTCCCTAAAAAGCTGTTTCTGGCACCTAATTGCTGATCAGCCCCAAAATGCTTATTCGACCCTAATATCTGAATCTGGCACCTAATTGCCTCCACACAGCCTAAAGTTGCCAGATCGTCTAGTTGAACTCCGTATTTGCTGTTTGCTGATTCAGCACCAAAACCAAAACATCCAGCACCTATTTTATTCCACGTTTGCCTACCTAATTCGCGTAATCTTCCTGATTTTATGTATCCTAACAACATGAACGTTGCATTCGGTGATGTCAAGTGCCATTTTCGCCAGTGGAGATAATGATTAATGCCATTTCTAGCCAAAAGAGAATCACTAGCCAGCTATGGTGCAGCATAGCAAGACGCTCCTATACCAGCCCGCTATGTAGAGACTAGAGATTATTGCACCCTCAGCCATTTTAACGTGAAAAGTTTGGATCCGTCACTTCCAGCCAGGCTCTCAGGTCATATACTGGAGTAAAGCAAAATGTCAACTCTGAACAGACATGCCACGCAACCGGCCCTCTTTTCAATATTATTAGCTTTCTGCAATCATCGTCTGACTCCATCTCGATCAAACGCAGCATCCGGTTTCTACAGGGGCGTTTGACTGACCGGCCACACAATAACCAAAAACAAAATCAAAGCTTCATCCACACATATGACATAAGTAAGAAACGGATGAAAAAGGCACAACCACGGCACAACTCTGCGCGGCAAACAACGGACAATGTCCCACGCAAGATCCCGCGTTTCTTCAGCGGCCTTGAACGGAATGAAAACATTACATTTCTTTTTTGGAGCTATTTGATGACGTCAAAAAATACAATACCCGTTTTAATGGTCAAAATCGAGACAATTACTCACAAAAATGTTTCCGTTTAAGCATTACAAATAAATACTTTTAAATATTTAAATGACATTGTTTTTTTCAAACAAATCAATATTATTTGCTTACTTAAACGTCATATACAATGCTGAGATCACTACGGGGCTGTCTTAGAGTGTAGCTGCACTGGCAACCTTTAGGCTAGACTCCAGGGGTCATTATACCAGAACAACATGATTCTACCAGCCAGTAGTTCATTTTTCTACTAGATTGGTGCTACGCTCAGCATTTAGGTGCCAGATTCAGAAAAAAGAGTAAGGCGTACAGATGAATAGGTGCCAGAAACAGCTAATTAAGGTCATTTTCCATGATTGGTGCTGGTATCCACCAAATAGGTGCTGAGGACCAATTTTGGGGCGAGTCAGCTTTTAGGTGCAAGAAATAGCTTTTCTGGGACGCAATTAAATGGCGTCCCATATTTTCGTCCGGACATTTTTTCGTTCAATAAATTTTACGTCTGTTCTGTGCACCCAAGGTTGAGTGAAAACATACTACAATGCTATTCAACTGTGAGGCAAATGACGTCATAATAATACTCGGGGCGAAGCAGTGCAGTACCGAAGGCAATGCCTTAGGAGAGATTACAGGCAATGGTAAGTCAAATATTTTTAGGTTAAGTGGTTGTACCACTTAACCTAAAAATATTTGACTTACCATTGCTTGCAATCTATTCATGCAAGTAACTTTTTCCTTATCCCCCGGTAGGCAAACATCAGTAGGTAAGGTTAGGTAAGGTTAGGTTAGGTTAGGTTAGTTTAGGTTAGGTTAGGTTAGGTAAGGTTTAGTTAGGTTAGGTTACGTTAGGTTACGTTACGTTAAAATTGTAGACGAAAAAATGTCCGGACGAAAAAACGCACAGACGAAAAAATATACAAACGAAAAAATGTCCGGACGAAAAAATGTACAGACGAAAAAATATACAGACGAAAAAATGCACAGACGAAAAAATGTACAGACGAAAAAATGCGAGACGAAAAAAAGTCGGACGAAAATCTGCGGACGAAAAACTGTCCGACGAAAATCTGCTGGACGAAAAACCGTCATGGAATCTTTTCAGATGGTTTATCTCGAGTGACTGAATACTATGCATAAAAGGCAAGACATGAAAATATTGTATTTTATATCCGCTCTTTCTAAGACTTATCAGACGATGCAGCACAACACCAAACAGCTTGGAAAACTGATGAAGGTGAATATCATAGTGTTGTGGAAAAAAAGATGAACTAAGTGTATTATATTCATTTTTTGTTCTTGTTTTTTTTTCCTTTAATTTTGCATTCAAACAAACTTAAGATTAAAGGGACCCTCCCGGCTCCCACCTTCAAAAAAGTTAATGAATTGGCATGAAAGTGATGTCGCTCGGTTCAGAAAGAGCGAAAACGAATATCTACCAAATTTCACCGAAAAATATTAACCAGTTTTCAAGATATTAGACTTTTACTTTTGTTTACTTTTTGGGATCTCCGCTGTTCCTAGCGACTTTATTTGGAAGCAATAGTTTGGCAGCTGAAAGTGCGGCACTTGTTGCGCGCAAAGCAGCATATACCACCGCGTGCTACAAAACGTTTTAGTCAAACATTTAAAAATCGTTAGATATCTGCGCTGACGTCACACATTCACAGGGGTATTCCTATGCATTATCCCCTCTGAATCAAAATGCAGCAATTTTGAAATTCAATATTTCCGATTTAACCCTCGCCGGCCGAGGGGGGGGGGGGCGGGTGCCGCCCCCCCATAGGGTTTTTTCGCGATAGCTCCGAACACGCTGGCGATAGAGAGCTGAAACTTGGCATACCTGACCTTTGATCCAAGCCAAATCTTTTGACACCAACCGCATTTTTGGGTCAGGTCAGGTCACTGACCTATGACGTCATAAGTGAACCTCTGCACGGTCTTCAGATGTCGCAACTTCGCAACGCCCTCACTGCCAGAGGAGATGTCACAGGGAAATGAAACTTGCAGGATCTAGTATCCATTATGAGTCCCACAACTTGTATATCTCGGATTTTTCCTAAAGGTCATATGAGGTCAGGTGACCTCACCATTATAAGTCAATGGGGAAAAATGAAAACTGCTATTCTGGCGCCGGGAACGATCTCCAACTATCTCAAGCACACAGAATCGTGATTTGATGCACTCCTTTCAAGGTTAGATGCGTCACTTTTGCGATGTTGACCTTGCGTGACGTCATTTATGACGTCATCAAGGTCATATTAGTTTTTCGTCAATAACTCTTGATCAAATTGAGCTAGCGAGTCGGGAAAGCCACCAATGGACTCAGAAAGACCTGCCGAATCGAATGATATGCGACATGACCTCTTTCGACCAACTTCGTGACCTGGGGGTGCTGACCTGACCTTGACCTGAGGTCAACACCCCAAGTTGACCTGACCCGGACAAAAAGTATATCATTCGACGCGCCTGAGCGAGACGAACACGATGCTGCCCAAATCGGCGCTCTGCGGCCGTTTTTTGCAAAGTTATTCACCAAAAACTGAACCGTAACTTGGGGCACTTGACCTGACCTCAGAGGTCACTGGTTGACCTAGGACCTTAAAATCGGGTACCAATCTCTGCGTCTCGTAACGGCGCACACGCTCGTTTTTTTCCGCGACGCGCTAGCTCCACCAGGGGCGAAACGGCGAGGGGGGGTCGTACCCCCCCCCCCCCCTCGGCCGGCGCGTATGTAGAAAACCAATAGGTCCGGCGAGGGTTAAGGCATTTCTCGATGTTGTGAGTGCCGAAACTGGTAATTGTGAGCCAGGGACCCCATTTTGGCTATCTCAACTCAAATCTAATGTTAAGGTGGAAGGGTCCCTTTAATATTTGTAACTATATGTAAGGAGGATATATGGCTATAACAATAGTACCAACACCAGCATCATGTCCAATGTTGATGTGCATATTTGGATAGTTCAGTCCCACCAACACATTGTTAATCTTCTCTATCGTGTTACTTATCCAGGCAACTACGTGTTACTTGTCCAATGTCCATCTATAGAACACATACATGTTTACTGTAGATACACAAATAGATATGTTATAATAAGATGCAATAGATACTATTTAAATCTAACTACTTTACTACTAACACTACATATCTGCATAGTCCGCGACATACGAGTATAACAACAAACGGCTCATCACATCATCACCTGAATGTATTGCGGATAGACCTGATGTAAATGATCCACGGCCCATCACATAATCACCTGAATGTATTGCGGATAGACCTGATGTAAGTGATCCACGGCTCATCACATCATCACCTGAATGTATTGCGGATAAACCTGATGTAAGTGATCCACATTCCACATCATCACCTGAATGTATTGCGGATAGACCTCCAGTCCGAGTTCATCCAGCATCTCCATGATGTCGGTTTGAGTTGACCCGACCCACTGACCTCCGAGGTCAAAGGTCTCCGTCTGACCTTCTCTGACCCGGATCTGGGTGGCCAGGGTTCGACCCCCGACACGGCCTGGAAAATAGAGAGACAGAAAAACTGAGTGTGTGTGAATGTTGAGTTGAGATTGAAGGATCATTTGACGTAACTACTAGAGGGATATATTCTTACATATAACCCTCGCCGGCCGAGGGGGGGGGGGGCGGGTGCCGCCCCCCCCCCAATAGGGTTTTTTCGCGATAGCTCCGAACAGGCTGGCGATAGAGAGCTGAAACTTAACATACCTGACCTTTGATCCAAGCCGGATCTTTTGACACCAACCGCATTTTTGGGTCAGGTCAGGTCACTGACCTATGACGTCATAAGTGAACCTCTGCACGGTCTTCAGATGTCGCAACTTCGCAACGCCCTCACTGCCAGAGGAGATGTCACAGGGAAATGAAACTTGCAGGATCTAGTATCCATTATGAGTCCCATAACTTGTATATCTCGGATTTTTCCTAAAGGTCATATGAGGTCATGTCATTTTCGTGACCTCACCATTATAAGTCAATGGGGAAAAATGAAAACTGCTATTCTGGCGCCGGGAACGATCTGCAACTATATCAAGCACACAGAATCGTGATTTGATGCACTCCTTGCAAGGTTAGATGCGTCACTTTTGCAATGTTGACCTTGCGTGACGTCATTTATGACGTCATCAAGGTCATATTAGTTTTTCGTCAATAACTCTTGATCAAATTAAGCTAGCGAGTCGGGAAAGCCACCAATGGACTCAGGAAGGCCTGCCGAATCGAATGATATGCGACATGACCTCTTTCGACCAACTTCGTGACCTGGGGGTGCTGACCTGACCTTGACCTGAGGTCAACACCCCAAGTTGACCTGACCCGGACAAAAAGTATATCATTCGACGCGCCTGAGCAAGGCAAACACGATGCTGCCAAAATCGGCGCTCTGCGGCCGTTTTTTGCGAAGTTATTCACCAAAAACTGAACCGTACCTTGGGGCACTTGACCTGACCTCAGAGGTCACGGGTTGACCTAGGACCTTAAAATCGGGTACCAACCTCTGCGACTCGTAACGGCGCACACGCTCGTTTTTTCCGCGACGCGCTAGCTCCACCAGGGGCGAAACGGCGAGGAGGGGGGGTCGTACCCGCCCCCCCCCCCCCTCGGCCGGCGCGTATGTAGAAAACCAATAGGTCCGGCGAGGGATAAACAAAGTAGATAAATAAGTTACAAACTGGATACATTTCGAAAATGTTGTATGTACAAAAAGTGGGATTTAAATACAGACTGAGGAATCGATTAAAACTTGGAGGAATAGAATGCCAAATAGCGTACAAAGTGGAGCAATTGAATACATAATGAAGAAGCGCTGTTCATCAAGTATTTTAGAAACTGAAAAAAAGAAGTACTGAATGGAGCACAGAGTACAGAAATTGGGTGAGATATACAATAGTTACATAGAGAGGACATAAATATAACAGAATAGAGTAATTCAGTAGAAACTGGACGGCACGGAACTGGAAGTGCCACGATATGGTACAAACTGCAGACCGATGGCATTGTCACTGCTGACAGTCAAACAGCTCCTTGACGTTGATATGTTCTTTAAACCAGTTTTTTTACCCTAGACATTCAGTTTACATTACTGGCTTTCGTCCCACACAATTCACCACTTAACCCTCGCCCGCACAGGGGGGGGGGGGGTTGCCACCCCCCCCCAGGTAGTCTTTCTGCTCTGCACTCAACATTTTTAGAGCTAGAAGGCTGATTTTTCGTATAGCTGCTCCTCTATCCTTTCTTGATGTCCACTGAAAATTTCAAGTTTCTGTGATTTTTTGTTTTGGAGATATGACCTTGTTTTTCAGGTCATGTCATGACCCAAATGGCCAATTCTCAACATCTTGCGTTTGCCATGGGCCTTATGAGCTTTTGACACCCTGATTTCGGCCTTTTTTGCCAGTCTTACCTCCTACCTATCATGGAACATGTTGATCGACGATGTACAGGGGTCAAGGTCAGGGTCAAGGTCAACCTAGGTCACCTAAGATAATTGCGTTTTAGGCAAGCTGAATTTACTTTTTGTGAAGTTTTTTGACTGCATTTTTGGTAAAAGCTTCTCAGATCATGATTTCATGTAATATGGACCCAAAAACAATCGGTGCACACATCAGTATACACACAGACACACACAGACATACAAACACATATAATTGACCTTGACCTAACTTGACCTGAAATGACCTCAGCAGCAAAATTCTGGTCGGGTAGTGTGACAAAGAGGTTCTAGCTGGCTTGGCACCAGAAAACAGCATCGTCATCGGTATTTGATAAGCAGCACACTTGATATCCAACGGTGACCCAAAACAGCAACATTTTTTAGTTTGACCTGACCTGGAAGGTCAATGACTGACCTGAGAAGGTAAAACAGGGTATCATTGGATTCGTCTCTTCCCAAAGAATCTTTTTGGTCTTTACCGCTAAGCTCTATCTCCAACAGGAACGAAATGGCGCGGGGGGGGTGGCAACCACCCCCCCCCCCCCATGTGCGTTCTAGGATGGGAAAATGGCATGCGCATTGCGCGGGCGAGGGTTAAGTTCTAATAATCACATCACCAATCAACATATATAACACTTGGATGTACACTCCTACAACCTCATCGACCTGCGCTGCGTTTGCCAAATACCTAACCTCTGCAACAATCCTTTATGGCAGTAGTTCCCTCATCTCCTACCTTTAGCCTCCACAAGGCAGAGCTCAGTTTTTGGATTCCGTTTCTGAATCTCGTAGGCAGCCGTTAGCCCGGATATACCGGCACCAATGACCAGCACCTCACACGTGACGTCACTGGAGCCTCTGGTGACGTCATTTGTCTCAGTGTGTGACGTCATTACGGGAGCTTCATCGGCTGTCTCTGATGACGCCGACATTCTGTTAAAGACCGGGCACAGTAGTTACATTGCTACAGTAGTAACATTGCTACAGTAGTTACATTGCTACAGTAGTTACATTGCTACAGTAGTTACATTGCTACAGTAGTTACATTGCTACAGTAGTTACGTTACTAGAGTAGTTACATTGCTACAGTAGTTACATTGCTACAGTAGTTACATTGCTACAGTAGTTACATTGCAACAGTAGTTACGTTGCTAGAATAGTTACGTTGCTACAGTAGTTACATTGCTACAGTAGTTACATTGCTACAGTAGTTACATTGCATCAGTAGTTACATTGCTACAGTAGTTACATTGCTACAGTAGTTACATTGCTACAGTGGTTACATTGCTGCATAGTTACATTGCTACAGTAGTTACATTGCTACAGTAGTTACATTCAGACATGTGCATGGATCCGAGTGATTGATTTTTGATCTCAGTGGATTTCGAGGCAAATTGTAGGTTCTGATCTATGATCCCACCGAATCCGGCGTGAATAATTTAGCCTGGATATATGATCTCACAGGATCTGACGATAAACCATAAAAGCATGGATCGATGATTTGAGTGGATCCCACCATGAACAACATTTGAAAGTTGAAACCAGTTTTTTTTTTAGAAATTTTGTCCGAATGGATGAATGGGTGGCTATGGGCCCGGGTGCCCCGCTAAGCAACTTGCTTGTTGCGAATGACACCACGGACCCACCACCCCGCCTTGCCCGCGCCCGGCTCACCGGTGATAATTTGGATCGAAAGTTTAACGTGCCGCAGGTAGATGGCGGCACGGTCCTCCCGGGTCTAGCGTGGCCCTGTCTCGCCAGTTGCCAGCTGGCTTTATAGGAACGCGGGTCAAACGGCGTGGAGCTTCCCGGCCGCGAACTCGCTGCCACCGAGTTAGGAGACGGACGCCTTATCCACTAGGCCAAGGGGGAGGTTTCCAAGTATTTCTATGTTCAATAATTGCCATAAAACTATGGATTATGACGTGTTATCACTTATCACATAAAAGCACTACCTACATAAGAACGTTTGTGAGTTGCAACGAATGATCTTTTGGGATTTCTATGTTGACCAAAAATAAATGAGGATCTATCCTCCTACTGGATTTGAAGCAAAAATACTAGACTCGGATCTATGATCCCTAGGATCTCTCGATAAATTAAAGAGATGGATCTATGATCCCGACGGATCCGAGATCAGGATCAGTGGGACGGCCAGCAGCGCTGTCACGCGATTGGACTCGGCAGCCACACTGACGGCTGAGCTGGGACATGGTGGAGGGTAGAGGCCAGAAGGAGGGAGGGGAAGTGACGCGGTTACGTGTGTGGTGTGACGATAGTATTATGTTGCTCAGCTGGATACAGCATTTCGAAAAATTGTTATTTCCTTTGATCATGATTGTGAAAATACACAGCTTTCCGTTACTGGGGGAAGGAGTGGGACACGTGATGTTACCCCACGCCGTGCTGGTGGTCTGTGTTTTCCGTGTCGTGCTGGGGGGGGGGGACGCTTTCACGCCCCCTCCCATCTAACTCGGCTTCTGGGCCATGCAGCGACACGCAGTAAGCGGCAATCGAAAGAGCGTCAAAAATAATGACGGAACCACTCCGGTCATTTTCTAGGTCAGTTCACAGGTCAGGTCACCAGAGATCATCAAAGGTCAATTGTAGTCCATTTCAACAATTTTGGAAACTATCGACGGCTAACTCGGGATTCGGGAACCAATAGAGCTAGAGCCACATCCGACGTCAACACCCAAACAACACCCTAAACTGACTTCACTCAAACAACAAAAAGCATACCGTTCGATGTGCTTGAGCAAGACGAACACGTCCACGATGCTGTCAAAATCGCGGCCAAGTGGCTGATTTTTTTGCGAAACTATTTGCCAAAAACCGAACCCGTACCTTGGACCACTTGACCTGACCTGAGAGGTCACCGTTTGACCTGAGACCTTCAAATCGGATACCTTAATCGGTTACGGGGTCGCACCCCCCCCCCCATCGGCCGGCACGTGTGTAGAAAACTAATAGGTCCGGCGAGGCTTAAACACTGGTATGTTTATCCAACACATTGATATCTTTGACTATGACAGCCTGTTGCGCTACGCCACCAATGTTTTCACTCACCACACCCTGTTTGTGGAATCTGTTCGAATTCGCTGCTGTCACCGCACACCTGCGCTACACTCAGCACCATCCTCGGTTTGGACGCCTATGTTATCTAGAGCCCCGCCCCCGGCCTTGAGACGTCAGAGATGGTCACTGATAGAACGACAGTAATCGAACTCTGATAAGGCTTACCTGCCAACAGTGGGGGATGTATGTGGAGCTATAGGAATCATAAACGGACTATAAAACCAGCGGCAATAGAATACTCGTTGGTAAAGGGCATGAACACTCCTATAATAATACATATATCCGCTATGACCGGAAACTCAGGCGAGGTTTACAAAGTTTAACCCTCGCCCTGGCAGGGCATTTTTCATAACACGGCCTGGCAGGGGGGGGGGGTCGATGCGACCCCCCCCCCCGCGATTGGCTCCTATGGCACCTAGAAACACCAAATTCGGTAGGTAGGTGGGCCCCCTGGAGTTCTCGCCCCTCTGCAAATTTGGTTGCTCTAGGTCAATATTTAGGGGGGTTTTGGGGGGTATAAATGTAAAAATTTCGCTAAAAACAGGTCAAACGTTTTTCGCTTATAACTTTTGATCTAATTAAGATAGAGCAAAAAGAAAAGCACCAGTGAACTCAGCACGTCTAGGCGCGTCGAATGATATATTTGTTAGCTTGCTTAAGTGTACTTAAAGTTTTTCTTAAATTTTAAGTAAACTTAAATTAATAAATTAAGTTAAAGTTAACCCAATTGCATCATATCGCATATCATTCGATTCGGCTGATCACCAGGAACAGAATGGTACCATTTTTTAAGCTCTAGCGTCATTATGTGCCAAGTTATTGGCAAAAACGTCATTTGACCTCAGTTGACCTCATTTGACCTGACCCATGGATAAGTACACCAAACAAAGAAGCACCAAGTGACCTGCTGTTGAGTACTGTGGTTTCAAAGCACAAAAGTGATAGAACGAAGCGGATATCTCCAGTATTTTCCGAATTTAGTATTTTCCCATAGGCTTAACATTACGACGTAATGACCTCTAACTGACCTCAGGTCAGTGACCTCAAAAAACCCGAACTATATGTTATACAACTCGGTGAACTTAGCACATCCTGAAAGTTTGAAGGAAATCAGTGCAAAACTGTGAGTTGGACAGGTGCAAAAAGAAATTTGAAATTTGACCATGACCTTGTACCGGTTTTTCTGACCTGGTGACCTGACCTAAGGTCACCCGGACCTGAAATTTTCAGGTCATATGTAAAAAGGTTGCCCCATAGGCTGTGCCAAATTTGGCGGCGCTACACGCCGCCGTTTTTACGCTATCTTCGAAAAACCTTAGGGGGGGGGGTCGCATCGACCCCCCCCCCCTGCCAGGGCGAGGGTTAAGCAAATCATGCTTCATTAATACTTTCAAGTACAACTTCCATCAGGATACCACATCAAATTTGACTTGGCGTCTTCTGACTTCTCATCTTGTCTTCTCGTTTTCCTTATAAGTAGGGGGTGGGGGTGGGGGGCTTAGAATCATCGCAATCCTGAACAAAATCAGCCGTTTTTATCAGCCGCATCAGACGATAGCTGGTGTAAATCATACTTTATGCCACAAAGTTCACGTCTTACGATCGTCGCACTAGTCATTTTACAGCAAAATATAGAACAAAACACAATTTAGCCTGGCCGAACCATACGTACTTACAACGTACTACCTATCAACCTTCAGCCTCTAACCTACAACCGACAAAATCTGCTGTGGCATATGCGTGGCAAATATGAACTGTGGCATATTTGAACACCCCCTACGATAGCCCAACATGGGATGGTAACAGCTGTTGCGTGTCAGACAGCTGACTAAACAGCTGACAAACATCAGCTGACGTCTGAAACCAGAAGTCAGTACAATCGTCACCACTTCACTGCCTCAGTGGTGACAATATTTATGATCACCAAGTGTCCCCGCTTGATATGTGAATCGGATACAAACTTTTTAGTACCTATACTGATACCAAACCCATGCCAACCTGGTATTTGGTATTTCAATCCTTATGTGGTTGGCATTTTGTTGGTATTTTGAACCCTCCTAATGTATAACCCTAGAACGCCTAGGGGGGGGGGGGGTTGTATCAACCCCCCCCTGAGGTTTTTTCGAAGTGCACGCTAAACGGCTTGTCGTAGCGGGCTGAAATTTTCCATACCCTCTGGGGCAACCTTTGCGCATCTTTTGCCGAAAAAAATTTGATCGGGTCATGTCAGGTCACGGAGTTATGACGTCATAAGAGGTACAGCCTCCGGCCGGATTTTCACAAACTGAGTGCCAACGCCCGAGGTTTCCTGCCGGTGGTACGGACATCGGTTGATGGATCGTGATGAAACTTCCCATGCATGTTGGGGCAAGTATTGGCTATCATATGGTATAAGAAATTTGACCGGGTCAGGTCAGGTTACGGAGCTATGACGTCACAAGAGGAACAGCGTCCGGTACTATTTTTGAAAAGCGCCCGAACCACTATTTTGCTAATTCTTGTCACCTCAATGGGAATATGCAGCAATATTAGCTTCTATAGGGAGCAAATGGACCTACCAAATCCAAAAATACAATCATATTTCAAAAATTTAAGTTTTGATTTTTCGAATTTCTGCCGCCGACTGTGACCTTGCCGACTTCCGGCGCTCCCAACGCGCCATTTTTAGAGCTAGGGAAACGAAATACATACCAAACGATAGAAAATTGATCAAGGAACACGATAGTGAAGGTTTCAAGTCGATATTTCCCACCGTTTTGCCGCAATCGCCGCCGAAAGTTGAAAAAAGTCTATTTTTCCGAAAATTTGACCTTTGACCGGTCAAAAGTAGGTCAAATGTTGACCTAGGACCAAAAAATATACCACCAATCGCGAGATCTCGTTGAGAGCAATCCGTTGGTTTTTTCCGCTAAGCTCTACGACCTTCCGTTTCGAAACGCCAGGGGGGGTCGTAACAACCCCCCCTGGTCGTTCGTGTTATGAGAAATGGCCTGGTCGTGCGAGGGATAAGGGGCTAAGAAATCGGTAAAAAGTTGGTATTTCCTTATTGTTCCAAAGTTTGTTTGGTCTAGGTATTTCTCCACGGTTTGGGTTCGTATTTGGTTTGGTATCAGTATTTCGGTTTTCTATAATTGACATCACTAGTCCCCGCCCCTCGCCATCGCCTCGCGTTCATCGTCTGAGCCGTATTACGGCTTTCCCAGTTGATACACTGATACCATATCGGGTGCAGAAGATACCGTATCGACTGCCGAGTGTCACGAGCACCGCGCGGTGCGTCGGCCGGGACAACACTGGCATTGAGGGCCCGGGCGTCGGACAGTGCGACCTAGAGAGGAGCGATCTACTAAGCCCGTGATATCCACAAAGCACCGAGACAAGGCAAGTGTGCAAAACAGAGGAAAAATTTTGGAGCAATATGCACTGAAGAAACTTCGTTACTATAATGCATTCATTTGTTGACGCTGCTTATAGTCGTACTTTTTAACCCGCGCCCTGCTGGGGGAGGGGGGGGTGTTTGAACACCCCCTTGTGGTTTTTCGCAAATATCTCAAATACGGCGGCGCTCCGCGCCGCCGTTTTTGGTACACCTTATCATACATCAATTCTACACATGTTGTAAAATTTTCAGACCAAGGTCATTCAAGGTCAGGTCACCAGGTCACTTGAAGTGACCTCACCTCATAAAAAGTTTCAATGTCTGTCATAGCTACACCCAGTGACCGATCGCTTTGAAACTTTCAGCGATTGCTAAAAGCAATAGCACGTACAAAACGTTTATCTCAGAATTTTGATATCGATGGCCTAAGGTCAGGTCAATTTTGCGACCTCCCCATTATAAGTCAATGGGAGAAAATTGAAATGCGCCTCTTTTGGACGAAAGACATTATAAACATTTCCAAACACTGAATTACAAGTGGTTTAGACACACTGAACATAAAAATTGTGTCCGTGACCCCTGTTTATGCCCTGAGGTCATCTTAGGTCAAGAATGGTATCTAACAGTTTTTCGCAAATAACTTTTGATAGAGGCATGCTAGAGCGATGAAAATGCATTAGATGTGTTCAGCTTGACGATACGTACAGATCGACTGATATGCAACATGAGCCTTTCAGGTCAGGTCATGACCTTGACCTGAGGTCAAATTTTCAAGTTGACCTTTCAAGGTCAAGTTATAGTTCATTCGATGCGTCTTGACGAGAGGAACACGATGCCGGTAAAAGGAAACTCGTGCAAGGCTTGGGTCAAAAGTTATTGCAGAAAAACTGTTTCCGAAAAAATCGGTTATTTTTGCAGTTTTGCCCCCTGCAGGCAAAACCGTTGACGTTAGGTCAAATCTGAGAGAATCACTCAGAAAGGGCGTTAATAGGGCTATCGAATGCGCTTTTCCGCGGCGCTGTAGCTCTATTGGTTCCCGAGTTATGCGTTGGCATCTTGGAAATTGTCGACATTCGACCTGAAAATTGGCGAAATTTTGCCTTCAATGACCTTTGGTGACCTGACCTTTGAACTGACCAAAAAATTGACCGAAGTGATTTCGTCATTATTTTTGACGCTCTTTCTAACGCCGCCTTCTGCGTATCGCTACGTGGCCCCGGAGCCGAGTTAGAAGGGGGTTCAGACCCCCCCCCCCCCAGCAGGGCGTGGAAATCCAGGACCCCCAGCCGGGCGCGGGTTAACTTGGGCAATTGTTGAGGGGAGCGGGTTTTCACATACCCCTCATGATTTCTTGTGAATACCCCGCGACGGCAGGTCTTCCTGAGTCCATTGGCGGCTTTCCCGACTCGCTAGCTCAATTTGATCGGGAATTATTGACAAAAGCTAATATGACTTTGATGACGTCATAAATTACGTCACGCAAAGTCAACATTGCAAACGTGATGCATCTAACCTTGCAAGGCGTGCATCAAATCACGATTCTGTGTGCTTGAGATAGTTGGAGATCGTTCCCGGCTTAGTTGGATATTTTTTTCATTGACATTTCATATGGTGAGGTCACGAAAATGACCTGACCTCATATGACCTTTTGGAAAAATCCGAGATATACAAGTTGTGAGACTCGTAATAGATACTAGATCCTTCAAGTTTTATTTCCCTGTGATAGCTCCTCTGGCAGTGAGGGCGTTGCGAAGTTGTGACATCTGAAGACCCTGCACAGGTTCCCTTATGACGTCATAGGTCAGTGACCAGACCTGGCCTGAAAACGCGGTTGGTGTCAAAAGATTCAGCTTGAATCAAAGTTCAGGTATGTTAAGTTTCGGCTCTCTATCGCCAGCGTATTTGGAGCTATGGCGAAAAAAACAATGGGGGCGGCACGCCCCTTCGGCCCGCGAGGGGTAAATATCGAGGTCATAGATATCGTATCTTGTGCATCTTGATAAGCTCTTTTGAATGCCGTTTGAATTTTTCCGATCCGACTATTGCTACCGGATATACGACAGGGGGCCCTTGCCTCTTTGGACCCTCCCCCCCCCCCAAGCGAAACCAGGAACCCACCAGACCTCAACGAGGCGCTGGTTAAAACCACAATTAACTGGTGTATATTCCATAGCGCGAGGGACTGAGGAAGGGGGGGGGGGGCTCAACAGAGCTCTCCTCTCTCCGAAGGAACTGTCTCGATTTTTTTAATTCAAAAAGCATTCGATAGCATTGTTAGAATGCAGAGCGAACCCTTTTTACCTCAATGTCACCGATGACGTCACAACTCACAGGTCAGTTTAAAGTAAACATTTTCATAATTTAGGGGTGTTTACGCTTTGTGCTCTGGCCACTGAGAAGTTAAGTCTCATGAAGTTCATATTTAGTTTGGACACTCATGAATGGATGCTATGTAAAAACACCATTGGCCAGAGGCCCAGCGGCCGCCGGGTTAACCCGGCTGCCGCTGGGCCTCCGCGCCACCCGCCGGCCGCTGGGGGGGGGGGGGGGCATAAAGTTGCCCCCCTTTACTTCTGCGACGATAACGTCGCAACGCGAAGAGATAGAGAAGCGAAACTTTGCACACACCTTCCTGAATACCTAGCCGAGATTGTGTCCAAATTTGGTGTCGACCCCATTTGAAATGACGTCACAGTGACGTCATAAGTGAAATTATAGATTTGCGACTCTCATATTCCTCACGATACATCACATATATGGGACCGAATATAAAGGGCCGATTATTGGTCAGAAACTAGATGGAAGTGTAGTAAGATGTTTTAGGATGACAGCAGGTGCTGTCTAGTTCATTTACAGTCGAGTTTCATGCTCAGCGTCATCAGAAACGGTCCATATCGGAAAACGACAAAACTTTATGACGTCACTGTGACGTCATCTTAGGAGCTACAACCACCAAACTTTCCTCAAACATTGCCTAGGTATTCATTTGAAGCTATGCCAAGTTTCACGTTCGTAGCTCTTCAGGTTTCGGAGATATTTCACAAAACGTAAAGGGGGGGCAACTTTATGCCCCCCCAGCGGCTCGTGGGTTAAGTGCCGAACAAGTATTTGATATGATTCAGAAAGGGCTCTATAGACCCCCGTCTCTGTCCCCCACCACCCCTGCCTGGCGGTGGCCCGTAACACCATGCTTCATGCGCTCGTTCTTCATGTATAACACCTGAACAATTAACCCGCGCACCGACGGGGGGGGGGTGGATATCCGCCCCCCCCCCCTGAGGTTTTTCGCGGATAGCGGGAAAACCGCGGCGCGTAGCGCCGCGAAATTTGGTATGATTATTCTCTTATCAATTTTACACATGGTGTGCAAGTTTGAACCTCCTAACTTTTAAGGTCAGGTCACCAGGTCACTTTGAATGACCCAACCTCAAGTCACTTTTTTGCAACTTTGTCACCGTGCCAGAGCTACAGTAGATGTCGGAGGCCTTTGAAAGTCGCAGGATGTTATTAGGTCATTAGTAGCTACAATTTGTTTATCTCGCAATTTTGATGTCGGTGACCTAAGGTCAGGTCAATTTCGCGACCTCCCCATTATAAGTCAATGGGGGAAAAATCAACTCCCTGTTTTTACCACTAAAACGGGTCGGAATGGCCCCATATACCATAAATGACTTCATATACGATCAACCTTCACTACCTTGAGGTCTGTTTTGCTGTTGGGCAGCTGTAAGGTCATGTGACGTCATCAAAGGTCACCAGCGGTTTTTTGCCAATAACTCCGTACAGAAACAAGATACAGCCGCGCGGATGGGTTCATTGTGTTCAGCTCGTCAAGACGCATCGAATGATATACATGATGACCTCGAGGTCACGTGACCTGAGGTCAACCTTTGACCTTGACCTTTCGAGGTCAACATATATATCATTCGATGCGGATTGGCGAGAGGATCACGATGATGCCCTTAGTTTGTTCCTATCTTGACTAATTCGAAAGTTATTCGAGAAAAACTCTCTCCATATCTAGCGCCGCCATTTTGACTTTTTCGACCCCTGTGACGTCATCTTTGACCTGACCTGAAAATGACTTTTGTAAAAATTGTAGACCTTGTCCGTGCGTATTCGATGCCGTTTACCGCTTGTCGCTATCTTGCTTCGTTCTCGAGATCTCAGGGGGGGGGCGGTCATCCGCCCCCCCCCCGTCGGTACGAAGTTGGCGCAGACCCCCGTCGGTGCGCGGGTTAAGATGCCTAGAATCATGTGTTTCAGATGGAAATCGCAGCCGTTCGTGAAGAAATGAACTTTTTGCGCGAAGAAATGAAGGCTCTGCGCGAAGAAATGACCAATCAACGTGAAGAGACGAAGGGATGTAAGAGCGAGGTGACTAATTTGAAGACGGAGATGAAAAGACAAAAGGAGGAGAACACCGCACTGCATAGTGAGGTGGTTCGCCTGCAGCAGGCAATGGTCGAGGAGCGCTCCACTCGTCAGACCGTCGTGGAGGAGCTGCGGCAGGAGGTCCGCCGGCTTACAGCGCCATTCGGCCGTCTGCAGGGGTGAGACTGGAAGGCACCAGGGGTAAGACTGGGAGGCAGCAGGGGTAAGACTGGGAGACAGCAGGAGTAAGACCACCAGGGTTGATACTGGGAGGCAGCAGGGGTAAGACTGGGAGGCAGCAGGGGGTAAGACTGGGAGACAGCAGGGGTAGGTAAGACTGGGAGTAGCAGGGGGGGGGGGGACTGGCTGCGTGCACTGGTACGCGAATAGTCGTGGAGTGTTACTACTTTCCTGAATGAATTGCGAAGTGTAATGCCCTAAATTGACTCCTGGGAGGGTGGATAAAAATGGTTGCGGATAGGGGTACCTGCGAAACACCGGTTTACTCGCCGGCCTTGGGTTGAATTGTTTTCATTGTGAGTAAACTGTCCCAGCACCCTCACAGGCAACAACGATAAGCTGTCAGAGGGCACGCACAGAAAACCTCAGCTGCCCTTGTACAGGGACCGGCAGTCGATATCAATGTTATCGGTTGTTACTGGACAGGACAGACGGCTAGAGTTGGGGTTTCGTGTAGAGTAGCAACTGCGGGTCCCCGTACTTACTGCACTCGGGGGGCAGGTTGATGTTCCACTCTTAATTCACCAGTTTCCTATGGCCCAGCATTGGCAGCAGTCGCCTGGTACCGGTAGACTGTGCCGCTTCACTTACTTGTCAAGCGGCACAGCCTACCCACACCGTATAACACCGGTCTGGGTCGGTGGCTGGAAGGCGCTATGGGGGAGCCTCGAAGTGTTGGTCACTCTCACTACTTCTGTGCTTTGTCCCGGCTACGCATGGGACGGGCTGTCGTGTAGCACTATCCGTACTTGGCCGCCAGGCTGGTGCCACGAGAGCAGGAGGAGGGCGTCGAGACGCAGGTGCCACTGGATAGGGCTCAGGTGCACGAACTGGAGGACCGACTAAACCAGGCGCTGGTCGACCAGAAGAGGGCGGAGGATGACCTGAAGGTAACTTACCTCTGCTGTCCACTTCGGGTTAGCATCGTTGAGGTGCAGTTTAAACGAAATTTTACCATAATAATGGCCAACCAGTAATTCTTTCGATGTTGGGAAAAATTCAGAAAATTTCATGATTTTCGGCACTTTGGAAGAGGTAAATCCCATAAATGTCCCACGTTTCTTAGATTCGCCAGCCCATGTGCTACGTGCGTCAGTCATGAAGTCTGGGTCCCCTCAACCTTCGTTCGCGGCACATTTGACCCTCACGTTCTGCCCCATCTGCACTCTACAAATATATTTAAGGAATCGCGCGCCACCAATTCCGCCACGGAGACCAAGCTGCGCGAGACTGAAGCGCGCAATGAGGACCTCCTGGAGCAGACCAACGCCTCACTGAAGAAGCGCTTGCACGAAATGGAACGCACAGTAAGTCTTCGACCGTTAGCCACCTCATGCCCTGCCAGCAGGGCCTCCAGGTTGTATACCGTATAGGAATAGTGCAATTGCAATACATAGCCTGACTTATTACGAGCGAGTGAAGCAAGCGAAGTCTTACGAAGAGTAGCAGACACTTCCGAGCATGATCGGCCCGCCGGACGTGGGCACGCTTTTGCGAAGCTTATGTATCCGCAACACCACACCACTGAACCGATTTACTTGAGGTAATTTGTTAGGGTAGCTCCTTGCCTGCTCCCAACCATTAGACTATTGCCGATGCATGTGGGTGACCCATCATGCACGTACCACCGCCACGTGCAAAAACGAAGAGATGCCAGATTTTGTAATAATTGCAATCTCGGTAACTACATACTTGGCTGATTGCGGCAAAACTTGCAGTTGGGTAGGCACCCATAGGCACCCACCAGACAATGCATTTCCATTTGTATGGTTGGGTTTGTAAGCTACCTCTGCACGTGCGCACGTGCTCTGCAGAGGTAGCTTCCAGACAGGGGCGGCGGATTCGGGGGGGGGGCAGGGGGCAGCTGCCCCCTGGCAAAATCGTGGGGGCAAAAGTATCTTTTTGCCCCCCCCCCCATAATTTGTGACAAAGCTTAGACAAGAAACCATATACCTGGTTATTCTCTTCGATCATCTGAAGATGTAACCAGGGCCCTGTTCATGAACCCCGGCGGTCGCTGCGGTCAGCCGGGTTGTTGCGTCACGAAAAGGGGCGGGGCTCATGTAGTATGACGAATGTATGACGTCACCTTGCTGCGGCCGCTGCGATCTCTGCGGCCGCAACCTGCAGCGACCGCCGAGCCGCAAGAAAACTAATTGCACTGAACTTGGCGCACTGAAGTCAAATAGGCGCAAGCCGTGTTGTCATGGAGACGATTTTGTAAACAAAGTATCTAGCGGTGCGCTTCAGTTGTAAACAATTGTCGGAAACTATTTCGGCAGCAGACGCTGTTCATGGAACGCTGCTGCGGCCGAGTGAGTGATGACGTTTCAAAAATGGGCGGGGCTTAGAACCTGCGGCCGGCCGCAGCGGCCGCAGATTTCATGAACAGGGCCCAGATGTCCATATACTTTCATACGTTGCCTTTCTTAAATGGCAAGCGTTCGCGTTCAATTGAAGTTTTCCTCTCTTCAACCTAGTTTTGGAGGCATTATAAGCGTCAACGTGACGCAGCGGCAGCCCAGGCCTTCAGTGACCGCTTACAGCGGCGACAGATACGGGGTGGCAGAGGAGGCATCGTCCCCTAATAAACTTTTGGAGGAGGGGCAAACGTATATTCTTGCCCCTCCATAATTTGTGCCTTAAACATGAGGAAAATTTCCATAACCTGATATTGCAGCTATGCGCTCCTACCATTTGTCCAACGGTGCCTTTTGAATATGTGTAAATGCTAACGATTTCCGCTTTATATCATTTTTTGTCTTTACGGGCGAGCGAAGCGAGCGTAGTCTTTCCTTAGATTAACCCGCGCGGGGCTGGGGTCTCCAGCCGAACGCGCGGGGCTGGGGGTGGGTAAATTTTACCCCCCCCCCCCCTGTTATCTCCCGAACTAATGGTCCGATTTGGAAAATTCAAACGCCAATCGAAAGATCTCATCACGAACAACTAAAAACATGTACTTGATTTAAAGTTTGAGCCTTGAGGTCAAGATCAAGGTCAGGTCAAGGGTACAAATTGCAAGTTTCTACAGTATCGGCCTTGCACCGTAGTTGCCGAAGAATGGACTGAGACTGATTGCCCAAAACGTGTTCTTAGGCTACCAAGACAATATTCGCTGCATACAATATCATTCAGAGGTCAAGGTCAAGGTCAGGTCAGGTCAGGTCAGGTCACCAAAAACAAAACATAGAAAAGGGCATGTGCGACACATGTTTTATGGGTCATTTTATTCATAGAATTCAATAGGCACACTCAATAGGTGATATGGACCACATCTGGATGAATTTCAGGTCGAGGTCAGGTCAAGGTCAGGTCAAGTGAGGTCAAATTTTGAAGTTGGTTGTTAACCCTCGCATGTGTGCGGCGTTTGCCAGCTTCTAATGTGTAGGGGGGGGGGGTCGGTTAGACCCCCCCTTGCCGTTTGGCCCCTGATCGAGCTAGAGCTTCGCGGAAAAAACGAGCGTGTTGCCCGTGACGAGAGAAAGCCGATGATACCCAATTTTAAGGTCCTAGGTCATTGGTTGACCTTCCAGGTCAGGTCAATGACCCAAAGTCGGGAAAATCGGGACCTATTAGAGAGTCGTAAAGAGTGGCTCCTAAGGGGTTTTTCGGGGTGCTGATCACGAATATCGTGTTAGTTTTGATCACAGATGATGTCTTTAAGCATTTAGACCAGGTCGGGTCAGGTCAGGTCAGGTCAACCAGTAGGGGTTGTGACGGGTATTCGTAGTACGTGTCAACCGCCTCTGACAGCTTCGTAACATGTTACGAAGGCACCAAAACTACTTCGTAAATGTTGAAATGGTTGCTAAATTCGAATTCAGCTCCAAAAACCAGCCTAGAAACATGTAAAACTCGACATGGTGTGTCAAAAGTGGAAATAGCCGCCCGGCTTTAGTTCGCCAGCCTTATCAATAGATGGCAGTACCACAATATGGGCAGCGGATCGTGCAATTGACGTCAAATTTTCGTTATCTGCTAAGAATTTAATGGCGGATCTTTTCATGCAAGAATCAAGTAAATCGGTCCCCAACTTTTCTAGCGACAGAGATATGAAGTCAAACACCCTGCCAGAGCGGCGGCGCGGCGGCCGGCGGCGCCCGTTACGCGCCGCCTGGGAGACTGGCGGCGCTGAACGGTTCCGACTTGGCACTGCACTAAAACCTGTTAACTGCTTGGAATAGTTATTATAGCAAAATTTTCATTCAAGTGAGGAATAACCAAGGGCAGGAAGTATGTATGCTTGTGTGCGTACTGTGTAAGCCAAGAAACTGCATTAGCAGATACTCGCTAATATTAGATCCAGCCAAGTCCAAACGCATTCCAGGGGATATGTTTCTGATGGGTCAACAATATTTATCGTTCGAGGGCGGATACAGTTTTGACAATGCAAAAAATATTTTTGCACAGCTCGTTTCCTTGAATAATTCTCTTCAACGCCTCATTCCTAGTTAAGCGAATTAGCCCACCCTGGTTGAATAAATAAGGCGATTTCGCCACAAGGTCGCGGAAAACCGACCGAAAACGGCCGCGCTCAACGTTAATTTGGGCATGCAGACTCTTAGAAAATCGCATTGGGCGGGTAGGGTTTCCCAGGTATTGTCTTCAAAACACCGTATTCGGGTCCCGAATACGTCCAAGTGACCCGCCTCGTTCCTAGTTAAGCTCTAATTAGATCAAGTGACTCACAAGGAGCGAAAAAGCGACAAAAAGCATGAATTTCCCTATGGCGGCGGGCTGCCGGGTTGCCAGACGGCGCACCGGCTATTTCCACTTTTGACACACCATGGAAAAAGTGAACCGAGGTCACCCGAGGTCACCAAAGGTCAATGACCTGACCTGACCTTCAGGTGACCTTGACACCCATTCTAATGCATGGGAGCAACATCAAATCACATGTTTGAACGTTTGTAACCACGAAAAGCTTGCAAACGCGCGGCTAATGCGAGCCGACATACGCGGAATCGCGATTCCGGCCAAACATGGTCTCGGAAAAGAGGTCACAGGTCAAAGGTCATTTGGGTCAGGGTCATAAAATTTTCAGGGTGGGTGTAAAATTGATCAATGAGAGGGTACTGAAAGTTTCGTCGCGATCGGCCGCTTTTTACGCGAGTTATTCGCGAAAAACCATGGGAGGGGGGGGGGTCCATCCGACCCCCCCCCCTACACATGCGAGGGTTATGGCCTAAAAAGGTGTCTATGTGATGCAGTTTTTCACGGCGAATCGAATGGTGCTGTTTTTGTTTCCGTACGAGGTCTACAACTTCCAAAAAATTCATTTTCAAAATTTTTGTGTGTCGTGACGTCATGAAATTTTTAATAACTCCCACATTTTTAAACCGATTCTTCTAAAAATTGGTATGTAGGTGCACATAGACCACATCTCTGACATACATTCCGGTTTTTTCGATACACTCAAAATTTTGGATTTTAAAATTATTTTCCCAAAAAAGTCAGTTTTTTTTAAATTGTGGCCAAAATCCAAAATTTTCAAAAAACCGAGATAGCCATTTGATAGACAAAATAGAATTACGTATAACTTTTTTGTTACGTCTTGATTCTTTTAAAAATGAAGATGTTAGCAACGTTTGAAATTTTGCCGTTTTTGAGGCGAAAATGGCGAACATGACGTCACTAAACGTCACTTTCTCAAAAATTTCCGGATGGATTTTGCTCAAATTTCCAGGGAACGTGTCCAATTGATGTAAGAAAAGCTACTGTAAGTTTGGCGGCGCTGCGCGCCGCCGTTTTTGAGTTATTGCAAAATTCGCGAGGGTGGGTAAAATTTACCCCCCCCCCCCCAGCCCCGCGCGGGTTAACGGAAATTTCTGAGTATGAGCGGCCGGCCGGCTGTGCGGACGCTTTTGCGAGGCTTATATCTCAGCAACCACTTGACCGATTTACACGCGGTAATTTTTGTAGGGTATCTTCATTCCTTCTACCAAGTATTGGACTATTCCCGATGCATATGGGTGACCCCTTATGCACGTGCCACGTGCAAAACGAAGAGATGTCAGTTTTGTAATTGTTGCAATATCTCGGTAACTACTTGGCCGATTGCGCTGAAAGTTGGCATGTAGGCAGGCACCCACTAGGCACTGCATAGTGCATATCCATGTGCCAGAGTTGGGGTGCTGCTGCACGTGCGCACGTGCAGGGGTCGTTTCCAGATCTCGAGAACGGCTGGACCGATGGCGCTCAAATTTGGTACACGGTTAGGGACCAGTTAGTAGGGTGCCGTGCACAAGTCAGTTGGGACCCATTTTGCCGTGCGCACGTGCAGGGTGCCGCTTCCAGATCTCGAGAA